GCTGTGCGGTCCAGTCCCGGCATCACTAGCCACATGGGGCTATTTAAAAGTAATTAAAAGTAAATATAACTTACAAATCAGTCCCTTAGTCACCAACCACATTTCAAGGGTACATGTGACTCATGGCTACCTATTGAATAGCACAGATTATGGAACAGTATTCTCACTGAAAGTTCTGTTGGATGGCACTGGTTTAGAGTGTTTGGAAGCACAGAGAGATGTCTCTCATTTAAACATGGATGTGAGGAGAGGAGTCAGGAAAGGGATCCTGAACAAAGTCATGTTTAAGCTGGCACCTGAGGAATGAATAGCTTTAATCTTTATTTTTGTGAGATATTTTATATCTCTACTTAATGAATGAGAAAATGGACTCCAAGTAGTTGAGAAACTTGCCTCAAGTCACAAGAAAGGTGTGAGAGAGAATATTTGATCCCAAATCCATCTGTCTGTAGTATCATGCTTGAAACACTAATAGTCACTAAAGGAACCATGGGCAAAAGAGACCTCTTTTGAAAGAAACAGGTAGCAAATTCGCAAATCCTGTTTGAACACTTTGTACTGTATTTTTAAAGCACTCTGTTAAGCATTAATGTGATATGAAGTTTCCAAAAAAACTAAAAATAAAAAGCACAGGGTTTCTTACCACATGGAGTTTGCCATTTCACTGTGAGATAGACATTAAAATCCAATGTTGGCAGAACAAATGGATTTTAAGAGCTATAGGAATTTCAAGAGGTGGCGATGTCTTCCTGTGAAGACTTCTTGCAAGAAGGAAGAATTAAGAGGGGTCTTAAAACTGTGTAGAGGCCGGGTGTGGTGGCTCACGCCTATAATCCCAGCACTTTGGGAGGCCGAGATGGGTGGATCATGAGGTCAAGAGATCGAGACCATCCTGGTCAACATGGTGAAACCCCATCTCTACTAAAAAATACAAAAATTAGCTGGGCATGGTAGCGCATGCCTATAGTCCCAGCTACTTGGGAAGCTGAGGCAGGAGACTTGCTTGAACCCAGGAGATGGAGGTTGCGATGAGCCGAGATCGCACCATTGCACTCCAGCCTGGGTAACAAGAGTGAAACTGCATTCAAAAAAAACAAAAAACAAAAAAACTGTGTAGAATGGGCATATCAGAGCATTCCCGGCAGCAGGAAAGTTTGTTGGAAGGCTTAGCGTGGGGGCCTGCAAGGTCAGTGCTGAGAGTGGGAATACCTCAGTCTTACATTGAGGGTTTGTTCAGATGAGACAACTCAGTCCTTTCTGCAGGCATAAGCTTTCAACACAAATTCTTCTAGAACAATATTTATGGGGGTGTCTATAAAGAGATTGGGCAGGGCAGAGACATCACTTATTTCCCCTTCAGGGAATTTATCTGAGAGAGTATTATTGACACCACAGCAGAATTCATGGCTTCCCAGCAGAAAAGTCTTCAGGAACACACAAGAGAGATGTTTGGGGCAACCCTTCTTTGTTTTCAGCATGTGTCCAAGAGTTCTTTCTCTTTCTCTTATACCTTTCTTCAAACCCACAAATGAATCTCAGCGCCAGAGAGTACAGAATTAGTTGTGGGTATTTAAAATCAATACATTATTATGCACTTAACTTCATGGGAAAAATAATCTAATTAACAAATATCTGTAGTGACGTGAACATTGCAAATCTGACAAATCAATACTATACATTCATTTTATATAGTCAGTTTGCTGTTTACATACTATCTGTTGGGTTCTACTTTTTTTGTCTTAATATTGTCTTATGTACAGTTTTTTTTTGGCACATCAATATAGTCCAAATAAGACCACTTTGGTTTTTGTTTTGTTTTGTTTTTTAAGACGGAGTTTTGCTCTTGTTGCCCAGGAGTACAATGGCACCATCTTGGCTCATCGCAACCTCTGACTCCCAGATTCAAGTGATTCTTCTTCCTCAGCCTCCTGAGTAGCTGGGATTACAGGCATGCACCACTACATCCTGGTTAATTTTGTATTTTTAGTAGAGATGGAGTTTCTCCATGTTGGTCAGGCTGGTCTCGAACTCCCAACCTCAGGTGATCTGCCCGCCTCGGCCTCCCAACGTGCTGGGATTGTAGGCATGAGCCACCACACCCAGCCAAGACCACTTTTTAATGATAGCTTTTAACAAAATCAGTCTTCAATTATTGGCTAGTAAATTTATTTCCTGTTAGCATTTAAAAAATATCAGTGCAATGAATCGTTTTGTACAATGATTTTTTAATTATAGATTTGTTTTTTTTAGAGCATATTCTCTAAAATGGGATGACTAGAACGTAGGGTTAATCATTGTATGCTTTTTGTTCGTTGTTCTCCAGAAAGATTATACCAATATTTATCTAGGATATCTGTCTTCCCAAAGCTTTGTCAACACTGAAGTTTGAATTACCACTTTGCTCTTGATAATTTAAGGGACCTTACTTAGCCTCTCTGCCTCAGTTGCATCATCTGTGGATGTGGGTAATGGGTTTTCAGGGTTGAGGATTGAATGAGATAGGGCAGGCAAAGCATCTGCTCAAGGCACAGTATGTGGTAAATAGGCAGCTAATGTCTACTTCCTCCCTTGTAAAGAGTATGCAATAGGAATTTAGAGCTGCTTGACTTCAGGTTGTTTGTTTGCTGCTGAGGTTAAGCATTTCTTTCAGATGATTATCTATTACTGGAATGCCTGGGGTGTGTCTTAAAGCCACTCTCCCTTCCCACTCTTTTCTCTATCTCCTCTATCCCACAGGATGCCCCAGTCCTGAACTAGACTTTATCATCCTCTATTTGCCACCTGGTCCAAGATCCAAAATCATCACCATGGCAACTAGACTTGAGATGCAGTGCTAACAGGAGACAGCAGACCATCCCTGCAAACTAAGAGTTCCAGAACCATAAATTCTCCAAGTGCAAAGGAAGCCTCAGTGGTTGTCTAACTTTCCAGTGGTTACTTGATGTGTTCTCTTCTTAAAACATGTTAAAAAAAATACCCATCGAGTAAATAATATGAAGAATTTACGGAGAGGCTAGAATTTGGCCTCTTTATTCTTGGTACCTAGGCAACATGATCAGTACTGTATCTACTGTAGTCAATTCTTAGATAATTGTGTTATCACTTAACCAAATTTTGAAACATCTTTGAGAAACAATGAATTTAGTTCTTAATGTCATAATTAAACAGAATATGGAGGATTCTTCTGTTGATAGGACTCAATATATTTTTTTTTCCCTCAGGAGACAACAGATGCTGGAGAGGATGTGGAGAAATAGGAGATAGGACTCAATATTTTATTTAATGGGGCTTCTCCCAGGTAGTTTATAGCCATGAAACATTTAAAGTCTAACTTCTTCTCGATAAGAGCTGGTGTCTAAAATGGATAAATCAAGAAATAGAAACTTGAGTATGTTATTTAAAGTTATAAAAGTGGAAACTATTGCCAAAATAAACTCAGAAAAATTGGAGAGCAGAAAGGGAAAGAGGATGTGGGAGATAGTGAAACTGTGTCAACTTTCTTTTTCTTTCAAAGTTGAGTGTTAAACATACTTTAAAAAATGACAGCTCAATTAAGAGATTGAGTTATATCTTAAATAATATATAAATATATTGTTTAATGTTAAAAAGGGAACTGCTAGAACAAAAAATCAGAAACTTCTAAAAATGGTCTTCCAAAGATTCCAGAACTAGAAGTTGGAGGGTAGATAAGAAGAAAAAGCTTATGTTTAATTTTAGATCTTCTATATGGTTTGAAATTTTTGATACATGCACATTATCTTTTCCCATTTCAAAAAACTGCTTTATTGAGAAATAATTTACATATCATTCCATTCACCTATTTAGAGTATACAATTCAATGGTTTTCAGTATTTCACAAAGTTATGCATTCATCATTAACTTTAGAACATTTTCATCACCTCCTCTACCCCTAATCCTGTACCTGTTAGCAGTCACTCTCTCATTTTCCTATTATGCCCCCTCTTCCCTGCCCAAGGCAACCTCTTTCTGTCTCTGCAGATTTGACTATACTGGATATTTCCTATAAATTTAATTAAACAACATGTGGCCTTTTATGTCTGGTTTATTTCAGTTAGCATAATGTTTTCAAGGTTCATCCACATTGTAGCAGGCATTGATACTTCATTCCTTTTTATTGCTGGATAATATTCCTTTGTGTGAATATATACCACATTTTCTTTCTTTCTTTTTTTTACCACATTTTTTTTATCCATTCATCAGCTGATGGATATTTGAGTTGTTTTCACTTTTTGTCTATTGTGAACAATGCTGCTATGAACATTTGTGTACATGTTTTTGTGTAGATATATGTTTTCATTTCTCTTGGATAGATACATTGGAATGGAATTGCTAGATCATATCACAATGCTGCATTTAACCTTTTGAGGAACTGCCAGACTGTTTTCAAAAGTTGTTGCTCCTTTTTAGATTCTCACTGGCAATGGAGGAGCGTTCCAATTTTTTTGTCTCTTCACCAATACTCGTTGTTATCTGTCTTTTTGATTCTAGCCATCCTAGGGGATATAAAGTGTTGTATGGTATATGTCTTTGTAGTTTTAATTTGCATTTCCCTAATTACTAATAACTCCAAGTATCTTTTCATATTCTTACTGACCATTTGTATATCTTCTTTGAGAAATGTCTATTTAGATCCTTTGCCCTGTGAACATTATTTTAATCTTAAAAAAGTAAGATGTTTGACAGAAAATAACAAATGTTGGACATGGCAATTGCTGGGTGAAGAAAATTAAGAGTTATTTCTTTTTTGCTTTCCTAAATTTTCCGAAGTTTTAAAAACATACATAACTTTTTGTCATCTTCAAATATTTATATTTTTCTCAATTTCTTTATCTTTTTCTGATTTGAAAAATTAGCACAAAAATTTGTTAAAGAAGATACAGTATTATCCTAGAGGCAACAATAGCTAACATTTTGGAAGATTTCTCTTCAGGACTTTTCTCAACTTTGTGTAATTTTTGAGGTTGTAGCATACATACAAGTTCAAATTATGCCTTTTATTCTTATCAGGATATCATAGACAAACTCTTGCATATTATAAATCTTTTATTTAATCTTTTCTTCTGAAAGTCTCTAGAGGAAATGCCATCATATCTCTTGGCATGCAGAATGGTCACAAAGAAGGGCTTCTTTCGTACATTCATTACTCCAAAATTAAGAAAAAAATATACACAAACATGCAACATGTACTGTTCCCAACCTATGGAAAACACAAACCAAGGAGACAGCAGATTTTTAAGAGGTCATTGCCTAGTCCTTTGCTGCAGTCTGATGTTCTCTGCTTGCTTCACTCTGGAAAAGACAGACAGTTTTATGTAGTATGAAGATGCTGGGCAACTCTCCAATACTTTATAACTTGTATCTTCACAGGGTAGCTTTGCCTTTTGGGTTAAATTATTTGTAATCCCCAAAGCACTGCCAAATCCCATATTTTTCCTTAAAATATGTGCTATAAAAAGCTGTATTCCCCTTGCATGCCCCATCCTATTTCTCTTTTCCTCATTATTATTCATGAAATCACCCATGCCAACAGGACAAGCTAACTGCAGGTCAGGGATGAGCTATGTTTCTTTTCAACTTTTTTTTTCCTATCCGAAAGGTTCCAAAGTTTCCAGTTGCAACAACTTTAAAAGTTGATTGCACAGATTCCATCTTCTCCTAAGGTAATGAAATTAAATAGTCTCTCTTTCTGGTAAGAGCTCCAGAAGAATACTTCTTTTACACTTGCTTTAAATGTTCAATTTTCTGTACCAATAAAGGCTGCCAACTCTTTAAGCTCCCATGTATGTCCACAAACACATCAAGACAGCAGTACCATCCCAAACCACACACATATAACAGGCTACTTCGAATCTGAAAATCCAGGAGAAATACCAGGATATAGCACAGGAGAAGAATCCTGACTACTAAGGATTCTCCCTCATAAGCCTCCGGTCATAGCTGTGCAAGATTAAATTTAAGATGAATGATTCATCTTGAATTCAGTGCATGGGTCGAGAATATAGTGCTCCCCAATGCCCAGGTTCTTCTCTTCCCAGGCACAGTGCTTAGATGGAGTTTTCCAGACTCCTTGGAAGTAGGTGGGGCTGTGAGATAAAGTTCTGGCCAGTGGTATGTGAGTGGACGTGATGATTGCCACTACCCCATCTGGCATTCTAAATCTTTCATTCTCTTGCAGTTCAGGAGGGATTTCAGAGGCCACTTGTTGAAGATAATGGCGCCACGAGATAGCAGGAGACAGGGTCTCTGGCTGATTGCACGAAACCATCCCCACCACAAAATCTCACTGAATGGTGACATGAACAAGAAACAAATCTTTATTGTACTAATCCACTGAGGCTTGAAGGTTGTATGTTACATCAGTTTGCATACCCTGATTAACACAGCTCCTTTTGCTTTTCTCCCATCCCAGCCAAATATTTTAGGTTGCTGTGACAGCTTGCTGACAACATCCTATACGGGGTGTCAGAACAAGAAGCTCCGTTTTGCTAGCAAAACATTAAAATCCAAATACTGCCAGGAGGAGAGAGTCTTGCTAGTAAGGTTCCACCTAAATGGTTCCAAGTCAGGAGAGTCACTAAATGTTTTGAGCAACAAAGGGAAAATCAATGTGTCTTCCCTGTGTATTCACATGGCACAGAGGGCTTGAGCAATCTGAGTGGGGACTTTACTGTTTGACTAACATTAACATTCATGTCTGTTCAACAAGTGTTTGTGGTGTCATCAGTGTCATACATGCTACCTTCCTTCAAAAAACAAATCTGAGAAAGTCCAAGTCTTTGCCCTGGAAGTTTCCCTCCACACAGAGTGGGATCTGCCTCATTGACTGTAAGCACTTGAGCTCTCCCTGAAATGGCCCCAGGAAGCTGTCAGCTATGTGTTGGGTAGACAGCTATTGCCTCTACCTAGAAGACTGAGTGACTTTGTTGAATTAATTACCTTTCCCTCTTTTGCAGCCACCCCAGGAGCTAAAATATCATAATTTCTTTTCTTCCTAGACCAGTCACCCTTTTATTTGGACTAATATGATGTCAAATGTTTCACAATTGATAAGAATTTTTTACAATGTTTTGGGTAGGCAGAAAACAAACTACTTTGTATGTTAGAACAAAGAAGCGTTGAGCATGAAAAAATCTATGCTCGATCATGAAAATCACTGGCACATTCTGCTGATCACCTCATATTCAGGATAAAATGCCACACTGGGGCTTGACTCCTGGTTCCACAGATAATTTCTGTGACCTCAAGAAAGTTGTTTTGACACACTGCTCCTCAAGGTATAATGACTGCAATAATTATGTTGGTGTGTGTTGAGGAACACTGCTAATTCACTTCTGCCTCTTTCCTCTACCTCAAGCTTCAAAACTGGCGACCAGAAGGGGGGTTCTCGCTCCTTTTTAAAGGCCATGACTTCCAACTTCCTTAAAACCCAAATTCAGACTTGATATAGAAAACGTGTGTATGAATTTTGAGTGCCTTTAGGAAGCTTTCTCAAATGCAGCTTGATTCTCTATGCTATCCCAGCAATTCTCTATTTTTTTCCCCTTCTTTCTCTCCTCCATTCTGATATTCTCTTTCTTCTTGTTCACTCCTCGAACCGACCATCATTTGTTTCATGTTGTTTTGTAACTTGTGGGCAAAGTGAAAACTCACCTTAAAAAAAGTATGCATGTGGGTCAGTTTATAACAAGAAAAAAAAACTTGAAAAGGAGTAACTGAATTCAAAAGAAAATAGATTATATAAGTCGGTGGAAATCAGACTGGTATTCTTAATAGCGTATATGGTTATTTTAATGTTAGAAACAATGTAACAACATAAACCTTAGAATTCTCCTACCCAAACATGAGAACTTTGAACATTGTTCTCTTCTAGGTATTTATTCTTCATATGCATCTTTTTTACCTAATTATAATCTCCATGTATTTAATTTTGTGTTTGCTATGAAATTTTAGGGAAATATTGCTTGGCTCTTCTTCTTACTTTCTAGATGAGTTACCAGGTATTTTGGCAAATTTTTCCAGGGTCACACCTATATATCTGCTAACACTGGGCCTCCAGTTTTCTTATTGTTCCTAGCTGAAGAAGGTTAACATCAGTGAGTTTTGAGAAGAGCTAGGTAATACCAACCTCTAGGCATAGAATAGTAAGTTAAATAGGACATGTGTCTGGTAGATTTACATATATTCTAGCTTTTAAAACTTAGAAAAAAGTACTGAGAGGTATTGTGAATCACTCATGAAGGTTTAAGATACACGTACACCTCTTCTAAAAGGTTCTGAGTCCTTAATATGCAAACTCCTCCAAACCTTGGCACTGAATGCATTGCAGAAGCAACATTCCTTTGGCATGTTAGGCAAGTAAGGGACTTTTCAAAGCATCTTGTCTAGCACTCTCATGGTACTCACAAGGAATTCGAAGCCAAGAAAGAATGTAGATTTCACTGTTGTGAGGACAGAGCTGGAGTAGCAAACCAGGTCTTATGGCTCCTAATTCAATGCTCTTTCCAGTCCTGAGAGGAAAGAGAAACAAGGGGAAGGACAGGATTAAGAAAGAAAGAAAAAAAAGAGGCAGCGAAAAAGAAAGCAAAGTTGGAAGAAAGGGCAGAGTGTACAGGGAATAAAGAAGAAAAGGAAGGGAATGCATATGAGGTTGTCAAGCCTTTGCTTAAAGTTCCCAGAGTAAACTGGTCCTCTAAAATTAGTGTCTCAAGTTATATAGGGGCACCAGCTAAGTATTTAGCCTTTCTTGTCTGCTTAGATATGAAGTTTCTAGAAAGAGAGGGCAATGTGGCAGGAGGATGGTCCCTAGAGTTGAGAGGATGGTGGCTCTATGTCTCTGCTCTTCAATGTCAATGAATGCAATGCATGCCTTTTATCTGCATTCTTGTTTGCTTTTCTTCTCGACAGAGATTAACGGACAGATGAACAGGTGGAAATATTCATAACTCACCAATGTTCCTCAAATTCCCTCTCAATATTTATTGGACTTCTATTTCCCTTGAGATATCACCCAAAAAATGCTAAATATGCATTAGCGATGTAGAGAAATGCAACCTCCTGCATTTCATGGAAAGGTCCAGGAAGAATGTGTAACTGGTTCAAAGTGGCCTATCTAAGAAGAATGTATCGATGATCTGATGTGGTGTCACAAAGCACCCAAACATGTAGTGGATGAAGTAGTCTCCAAAAAATGGCTGCTATCAGCTCTTTTATTCCTGGACATACACAGTACCTCTCAAGTCAGAAGGCAGAGTCTCTTTCCCCTCCTCTTGAATCTGTTTGGTCTTGTGACTTGCTCTGGCCAATAGAATGAAGCAGAAATAACATTCTAGAACTTCTAGACTCAACTCATAAGAGAATTGGCAGTTTCTATTCCTCCCTCTTGAAAGTGAGATGCCATAGAGGAAGTGTAACCACCTTGCTGGGAGGAAGCCCAAGCTGGGTACATGGACATAGATCATCTGGAGGAGAATTGAGGTGTCTGATACGTTAATGAGGCCTTTTCAAACCTTCCAACTCAGCCCAGCTGCCAGTGGCCAGCTGAATGCAGTCAAATGAGTGACCCAGGCCAGGCACAGCAGCTGATACCTATAATCCCGGCACTTTGGGAGTTGAGGTGGGAGGGTTGCTTGAGCCTAGGCGTTTGAGACCACCCCTGGAAACAGAGTGAGACCTTATCTCCACACACACAAAAAAATTATCCAGGCATGGTGGTGCATGCCTGTGGTCCCAGCTATTTGGGAGGCTGAGGTGGGAGGATCACTTGAGTCTAGGAGATCAAGGCTGCAGTAAACTGTAATCATGCCATTGCACTACAACCTGTTCCAGCTGGTGTGACAGAGCAAGACCCTCTCTCAAAAGCAAGCAAGCAGGCAAACAACAACAAAAACAACACAAACAAACAAAAAACCATGTGTAACCTTAGGCAATGCTCAGCTAGGCTTAGTTGACCCACTGAATAAGGAAAAATAGTAAATGATTGGTGATTTTGGTAACTAAGTTTTGGGATCATTTGTTAAGCAGCAATCAATAACTGAAACAGTGGCTTAAACCAGCAACCATGTATTGTTTCTCGTGAATCTATGAGTTGGGTGGGTGGTTCTGGTGATCTGGACCAAGCCTAGGCAACCTCATTTGGACTTGCTTGTGCCTCTGCAGTCAAATGAGGGCTGACTGGTCAAGGATGCTCAGCTGTTATGACTCAGCTTTGCTCTACGGGGTCTTTCATCTTCCAGCAGGCTTATTCTGGTGATGTCAGAATTCCAAGACTGGAAACAGAAATGCGTAAACATTTTTCCAGCATTCATTTACATCAAGTCTGCTGTTGTCTTGTTGCTCAAAGTAAATCATACAGTTGAGCCCAGAATAGGAGGGGATTACAAAGTTAGAGGGAAAGACCCTGGATAAAAAAGGAGGTCATTTTTTGGGGGCCTCTAATACTATCAAATGTGCTACAAGGAACTCATGAATGTTTCTCATAGTTAGAGGAGTATTAAATAGGATTACTAAGGTTTTGGACTGAGGCCAGGAATCAACTGGAAAAATTACATTTAAAATTAAGCAAAATAATTAGATGAATGTTTTCTGATTTTTAAATAGGTTTCCAGATTTTCTGGCCAAGTAACTATTCTAGTGATATTGATGTTGTTGCATGCTTTCCAATACAGGATGACTTTCCCAAATTCCTGTTGATAGAGTCAGACATAGAATCAGAAGGAAATAGCAGGTCTCACACTACATGGTCACCCATTCCATTAATCAATTCACAGTAATAATGCAATCTTAAGGTTCTTGGTAGAGTTCCTTAAAATTCTGTTTCATAAAGTTAGCTCTCTAAATAGCCAGTGGGCCCCTCTGCTTTGAGACTTCTCTCTGGAAACCTAAGCTGTTTGCATTTGGGCTTTACAGAAATTGCTCAATACCAAGTTCATTAAAGGGAAAAGGGTTATGTGTATGGACACATGTATTTGGGCATTTATATGTAATGTGTGATCACTTTTGATCCACTGTGATTTCATTTAAGTTTGTTTTTTAACTGTCTTCATCTCCGCTGCATTACCAGAAACTGACTTTACACTTTCACTTACCACCACCTCCCTGGGAAGCAAATTCATTTTCCACCATGGATTCCAGAGCTCAAGTCTGAAGCAGGAAAGGAGAGACTGGGATTACCCTTCCCAGATCCCACACTAGCCTGCTAGTTACAGCGGTATGGTGCTGCCCCCTATACAGTGATTCCTACCAGTAAGACGAACGGTTCTTTGATCTGTTCCTGTGTCCTCCACCTCTGGTCTATCTACCTCATCTTGAACTTTGTTAATACAATGTTTCTGCTAGTTATTGTTCACGGACTGAGAGTCAGGGAAACCGTGTTCTGATCCTTGGGTTACTTAATGTTTTGAGACCTTAGTTTCCTCATCTGTAAAGTAAGCAAGCTGAACTAGATGTATGTTCCTCCTGCTCTGAGCTGTGAAGCCTCTAGGATGCCAGGAGAAAACCAGACCCAAGTCACGGGGTTCTAAACAAACGATACCTTAAATCTCTCAGTAATGGCCAACCACATCTGGAAGAAGCAGGCTGGGAAAACAGCTGAAGAATAAAGATATTTGTTTTGTCAATTATGCCTCAGTGAAACTGAAAAAAAAAATAGATACTTCCATTATCAAGAAATTATTGCACTTGATTCAAGACTGATATTAAACCATAACAGACTCACTCAAGGTGGGGGGAGAGAGATACAACGAGATTACAAAGCTGAAAAGAGGTGTTCATTTGCAGAGAACTCAGCAAGTAGCCTTCAAACAGAAATTGGCTGACCAAGCCAGAGGTATCTGAATATAAGGATCATGGAATGTTCTTCCCCAGACAGAATGTAGCCCACGTTTTCCACCGGTGTTGTTTTGGTAAAGAAGGGGAAACTGGATGAGGCTGAGAAATGCCATTTGCTTCCATTCAGCCGGGAAGTATCCGCTACCCTTTGGTTCCTATTAAGTGAATTTAGCTTTAGCTTCCACGATAGCATTTTCCCAAAGGAGTCCTTTAGATCTGGCTCCTACCCTCTTCGCCGAAGCTAGACTGACATTAGGTGACACTGCAAGTGCCCCCAGCCCACTCAGCGGGATCAGTTGGAATTGCCCCTCGCCCCCACAGCGCTTTCCCATGACATCCCCCAGCTTCTCTCTCCTAGGACCCCTGGCCAGCCTACCCCTACCTGTTGGGTAGGTCTTACTAGGAACACCTGCGCAACTTAGAAGGTGAGTAACCGACGCCTTGGAATCCTGGCCTGTCCCTTCCTGGTGAAGGGGGCGCCTGCGCTTAAGTGCCGGCTTCACCGCCTCAGTCAGAGTCCAGCAGGTGGGCGACCCGGCGTAGCTGAGTTCAGTGGCCTGGGGAAAAGGGACGCCTTATCCCCAACATAGCCCGGTTTCGCAAGGTTTTAAGACGCTGAGAACAGCTGGGAACCCCTGGGATAGCCGTGGAGTCTTGGAGGTACCGGTTAATTCCAGGGGCCCACCCCAACCCCGCTCTCAGTCTGTGCCAGCGGCGGCGGGACAGGAGCCCGGTCCCCACGCACCGACTGGGACGCCCATCCCACTGCGGCTGAGGCTCGAGCCGCCGCCGCTGCCAGTGCAGCAAACCCGTCTGGCTTCCCTGGAGGGCGTGCGGGGATGGGGCAAGTGGGTGGAGAGAAAAGGGGAAGAGCTTGGGCGGCCGGCGGGCGGGGCCTGCAGCCTCCCCAGCCGCGGCAGCCGCCGCGCAACCGGCTCTTTCTGCGCCTAGCTCCGACTCCTGCGCGCACTGCGCGGGGACCCGCTTCCGAGCCTGGGGGACGCCGCTGCTGCTCCCTTCGACCCCAGGTCTCCGAACGCGCCGCGGCGAGGCAGCGCCTGGCCGTGGAGCCCCTCGGAGCTGCTGGGCTTTGGCGGCCGCTCTCTGCTCTGTCTGGCCGGAGGACCCGCGGGGAAGGAAGGGGAAAGCGGGGACACACACACTCGCCGCGGCGCGCGCGCATTGCACACTCGCAGCCGCGCGCCCCCGCCGAGGCGCGTCCGGAGCGAGTTTGGCCCGGCGGCTCGGGCCCCGGCACCTGCCCGCCCCCAGTGCTGCCCCCGGCCCCGGCCCCGCCTGCCGCCTCCTCCGCCCCGCAGCGCTTCCCGCCCCTCGTCTGCACTGCTCTCCCTTTGCCGAGGGGAAGCGACAACGTCCCGATAAGTTGCAGACTGTGGCGCAACTGGTCTCGGTAGCGGAGGCATCCGAATGCTGCCCGGGTGAGGTAAGTTTGCTGCGCGTCCCCGACCCCTTCCCACTAGACCCTCCTGAGGGGCTCGCGCTTCCGGGCTCTCCATCTCGGCTGAAACCCGGCGGTCTCTCTATGCTTCCACTTTGCCTGTCTGCGTTGTGCTGGGGGTGACGTGGAGAGGGCGCCCGTGGCCACTGAAGCGGGACGTTGGTCCCGCGGGGGCCACAGCTGCGCGCTCCCAGCGTGCACCCAACCGCTCGTCACCCGGATCCCCGGGGCCGCAGTGACACTCGGGGATCACTCTGGGTTCACTTAAACAGGAGTCTCCTCCCCATTTCAGGGGAACCTGCAGAGTTTGGCAGCGGAAGGAAAGATCTCCCCTATCCTCCCCCAGTACGAAACAGAGGTGAACTTGTTAGGCGTCCCTGGTATCTCCAGAGGGGCTTGCGAGTAGGCGTTCTGCCCATTTTTGGCGCTGGAGCCGGATTGAACAGGTGCGGTATGGTTCCAGTCTAAATGCAGCAACAGACTTCTGCGTTTCCCAGGCATTTTCCCCCAGCCTGGTCAACGTGACCAGGGGCAGGAGCTTCACCATCTGGGGCAGGGGCTGGGAGTCTAGGGGCACTGGGGAGGGAGAATGCCCGGGTCTGATTTGCAATGCTGGTGCCAGGAGTCGCCAGAACAGAAGACAACAAATGTCTGCTTATCTCGCATCTATGCAGATGAGCATGTTGTCATTTCTTATCCCCCCTTCAACCCCCAACTAGCTTGTGTCTGGTGCCCAGCGTGGTTGAGTAGAAACCTGTTCCAGAGAAGTTGTTTGGGTAGGTTGATGAATTCTTTCATGGAATCTACTGAAATCAGGGCTCCGAACAAGGCAGTGCCAGTTATTCTGATGCTTTTTTAAAGGAAGCGTATTGCAGACCAAAAATGACACCCACTACCACTACCTCTCTTGACATTCTTAGATGCAGGAGGTTCCAGCTCTAAGGCGAATGATCCGTAAGAGATCGATATGTCCTCAAAATGTGCTAATCTCGTGCAAGGAAGAAGTGTCTCTGTGTCAGTACTTCTGAGTCTCGGTTTGGGGAACCCCTTTTGTCCTTCTAATAAAGCACATCCAGCCAGAGACTTCTCCCCTGTTCTGTGAAGAGACCAAAGCGTTTTGCTACTGTTGGAGTGCAGAAAACCCAAAGGGCTGGTTTCATTAGCAGTCTAATGAGATGAAGTAGGATAGTGTTCATGGAAGCGTTTGCTAGAGCATTCCTACCTGAAAGGAGACTCTGGAATAAAAACCTAATTGGCCAAGTGTAAGCCAGTGGGAGGCTGAGTGAGTTTCATGTGTGATCTCTGAGCAGAGGGAAAAGGTGGGTTCTGATATGGTCCTGTGGGCCATATCAGAGGCTTAGGAGGGCTGATGGGAAAGCTGGTGATTTTGAGACTGATACATGATGACATCTTACCTGAGAAGGAAAACTGTAAAGCACTGAATGATAGAACCATGTTACATTTTTGTCCATGTTAAGGCTAGAGAGATTTAATAATAACACCTTACGTTTTCATCCATGTCTTGCAATTTGTAAATTCTTTTGAGTGTTCTCACCTAATTCCAAACATTTCTGAGGGAGGCAGGGCAAAGATTATTTACCACGTATACCCAGAAAGAACGTGAGGCTCACAGATCAGAGATTTATCAAGGTAACAAGTGCTGGTATTAGAATCGCAGTTAGGTTTTCTGTCATAACTAAGTGTCTCTTCTGTACTTATATAAAGTGTTTTTTTTTTTTTTTAATGGCAGAGTTCTGCATTTATTGTGGTGTGGTCTGCATAGTCTAACTGTAAATTACCCTTTACATTTTACAGAGGAGGAAACTGAGGTTTAGGCAAGCAGCTAGAGTTTTCTATGGTTTCACATCTAATTTAGTGGCATTTATAAGGCTAGAACTTGGGTCTTCTGATGTCCAGTCCATTTCTTTGTGCATCATTTAACTTCTGATAGCAACGAGGGCACATCATGGAAACTGCAATACACAAGGGACTGTTAAGCATGCCCCCAGTGACCTGGGTTCTAGCTCTGGGACTACATTTGGCTATATGACCTGGGCCAAATCATATCACTTCCAAGTCTCAAGTGTCTCACATATTAAAACAACTTTCTTTCCAACTTTAGCATTCTGCAGTGTTTACCAATGTGTTTGTAATCCAATGTTGTTATTTTCTCTAGGGGAAAGAAAGCTTTTTACCCTGTATCAACTAAGAGACCTAGCTAATTACTCTTTCACCTTTAGTTTATCCCTTCCCTCCTTTACTGCATACCAGCTAATTTTTGTATTTTTCATAGAGACAGGATTTCACCATGTTGCCTACACTGGTCTGTAAGTCCTGGATTCAGGCAATCCACACTCATCGGCTTCCCAAAGTGCTGGGGTTACAGGTGTGAGCCCCTGAGCTCAGCCAAAAATGTTTGTTTTTATCTATTCACTACGATTCTTTTGGCTTATATAGATCACCAGACTCAGAAATAATACTTTGCTCCAAATCATTCTTTCATTCTTAACCAAAAGAGTGAAATTTAACAAGTGTGTTTTAGCTTAGCATCTACAGTATATTGTTTAGTATTACTGTTTGACTTGAAAATGTTCTGAGGGTCTGAAGTACTGTAAGGTACCTGTCAGGGTTTACTTGAATATTCTAACTGTAAGTTCACAACTTTTTTTTTTTTTTTTAGCTTTGTGGTTTGCACAAAGTAAGTACTCAATAAGTAGCTGCTGAATTAATGAAGAAGGTGAATGAAGTTATTTCTAAGGAAAACATATGCTGTAAAACATAGAAAGCATCTTACCATGTAAATTCCCAACACATAAGATAATTTACCTAGAGGCATGTGCCTCCTGAAGCTGGCAGGTACAGAGCCCATTGTTGCTCTCTTTTCTGAATGCATCATATAGGGAAGAGCTTTTCTTTCTCCCTATAGACAATAGACTCATGTCATCTGTATTATGCTCTTTTGTTTGCCCCCATGCCTTAATTGTTAGTAGTATAGCTGCTAAAAGGTACATTCCTAGAAATTGAGTTGTCCCATTTTATGAAAGGTTATGTCTTGAGGTGGAGAAACCAACCATTCTGTTTTTAAAATAGGGTATTGAGTAAATTTTAGGAGATGCTAATACTGGCTCGTGGTTTCAGAGGGGGAACTTAATTAACAAAACCAGCCTAGTTTCTGTTCCTTTTAACAATCTTCTCTTTCTACTCCTCCTCTTTATATACAGACAAGTAGTGTTTTTATGTTTGGGAGAATGAATAAAGAATATAGTAATCTTAAATAGTATTAATGGATCCGCAG